TGGAGGAGGCTGGAGAGGGTGGGAGGGCGGTCATTTTCGAGGAGCGGCCACTGGAGGGCGCTTTCCAGGAGCGGGCACTGGAGGGCACTTTCTAGAAGCGGGCACTGGAGGGCGCTCTGAGCTTGATTCGGGGGCTGGATCCCTCCCCTCTTCGTTTTGGCACTTATGTCCTGCCATAGTCCGCTCACCCTCAGCCATGATGCAGGGGGCAGAGCTCCTCTCCGCGCTCACACCGTCCATGGCTTGCTCCCTCGTGGTGGGCACTGTCGCCGGCTCTCGCAACCTGGTCTGATGGATTGGGCTCAACTTCCGAGGCAATCCTCTGCTCAGTCGCTTGGCTTCGCTCTGGCTCGCGGATCACAGTGGGAAATGGCTCTCCGTCATCGGTGGGTTCAGGCTGATGCTCCGTACCGCAGGGAGATAGTGGGCTGGGCTCTGGGTCCGGAGAGGGTCCGGCGAGATCCTCCATGGGACAGATGGTGAGTAGCACCCCGTTTCTCGCCAGAGTCCACTCCACGAAGGCGGCGAATTCCTCCCGAGGACCATCTTCGGACGACACCGCTCTGCACTCAGCGTTCAGGCTTGCGTCATAGAAAGAGCAGAGCGCGTCGTCCGGATAGCTGGTGATGTTCGCGACCAACAGGAACAGTTTGGTATGGTCCTCGAGAGCTTTGTCTCCCTGCTCCAGCAGGAGGAGGAGGAATTCGGGGCGAGTGAAGGGATCCATGGGGACACAACGGAAAGAAAAACACTGAGAAAAAAACGGAGAGGAAAACACGGAAGTTACTGTTTTGGTCGGTCCTTCTGTCACACTTCTCGGGAGGCAAGGAGCGAGGAACGAGGAAACACTGAGATAACTTCAATTCACAGTCTTTAATGATCACACGGGAAATGTAGGAGACACTGGAACACAAGAAATGACGTTTGAGGACCAATAAACACTAACTGAAAGGACTGGGGCTTTTAAACACTGGGTGATTGGGAAAACACAGATGCAAGGAATGACTAATTAAAGGGAACACGGCACACCTGGGGAGGGAAAACACAACACAAAGAGTCCAGGGGCGTGACATCTACAGCTGCAACCAAATGTTCTGCACTGTTCACAGTTAATGCACACAGTCACAGTGTCTGTTCAGTAGAGCCACAACAATAAGAAAGTGACAGAACATATTGTAAGGTACAAACAAGTGTAACAGATTGTTGAAAATTACTAAAAAGTAGAGCAGAAACTTTGTTCTTACCATTAGATGTTGACTGGATTCTGAGATGTGACCGTTGGACTCAAAAATGGAGGCAAATCTGAACGCAAACTTGCAGGGCGGAGTTTATGTGGAAGTAAAGTTGTGATTAAATGGAAGTAGTGACATCTTCCGTGATGTACATCCAAGTGTAATGAATTATGGGACAAAAGGGAAGGTTGGGAACTATTTATCTTGTATCTATCATTTGTTTATTGGATTTTGAGATATGGCTGTTGCACTCAAAAATGCAAATTTGCAGCCAATTGTGGAGGGGCGGAGTTTAAACTCAATAAATGATTGGACAATTCCAGCATACATCACCAGAGAGAAATCTGTCATTTCACTGAAATACTGAGTTATGATATTTTTATTAAAACTTAAGAGAAAAACTTTGTAAATATACACATGTATATATATATATATATATAAGACTAGGAAAAAACTATATATATATACATATATATATATATATATATATATATATATATATATATATATGGATGAATCATTGACGATAAGTTCTATAACATGCGTTTACAAAATAGATGAGATGAATTTTGAGTTTCAGTTAATGATGAGTAATGATGAGAAACCTGGCATATGTCTCCAGAGAAGTCCATGATTGAGTTACAAATTACAAGGCAGAAAAAAAGAAAGAAAGAAAAACAAAAAAAGGTGAATGAATGAATCTTTCTTAATAACATAAAAAAACGTGTTCTGAATTTTTATTTTTTTTAATTACACACACACACACACATATATATATATATATATAGGGTGACTTTTCATTTCATTCTGATTTTAAAAGAGAGCCATCAAAAAGCATTTAGAAAACAATTTTCATCATGAATGCTTTTTTTGCCTCTCCTCTGGTGTACTAACCAGACTCCTAAAATGAGCTCCAATGGACACCATTAGGAGCAATTACTGTTGTTATGGAGCAGGTCTATATGGTTGCTGTTTTTCCCGCTACATATCCATGGCAGCCTCCCCACACACCACACTGTTGTCTCAGAGGCAGGCAGCTGAACCTTTAATTACCCTGACAGCAAACACACAGATCCGGAGAGTGCAAGAGGGTCCCTAACCAGTGCATCATCCTCTATTTGAGTCAGTCCCTTAAGAGGGACTTTGATATTGTGAAAAGCCTGTTTTGGGCCCTCAGCTTCCCGTGCTGACGCGATAGCAGCCGCTGAACTCAAGCAGACAGACAGTCCCACTTTAGATTATGTTGTGGTGTAGTTACTGGTTATATAACAGAATTAGATTTGCCTACTGCTCCCTGGAGTGTGTGTCTGTGTGTGTGCTGCTGCGCTGACATAAAACCATCAGGAGTAACGACGAGACAGACAGGGAGATACCCGCACTGGGACAGCAGCGCGTGGAAAGTGAGCGAGAGCACAGTTAGTGAGGTCACTGCAAAGTGATGCGTAAAGGGAAAGGACTCCTTAGTGTTGCACCTCAGCCACGTCACACAGTCACGTCAGGATCTCACTGTTACATAACTGACAAATGACAAGCTTAGAGGACAGCAACACATATTACAAATTTACAGGGTTTCAACAGATGCTAGTGGAATTTTTGTCTGACATTTATCGAATGTTTATATATCATTTAAAACTTTTAAAATAGCAATATAAAAACAGAAATAAAAATATAAAAAAGTAGCCAAGTCATGCTGCACATGCTGCACATGCATAACAATGACTGCAGTATGAACAATTAATTAACATAAACACAGAGTTGCTTCAGTATATAAGGAATTATTACTGTTTGGGATCTAGGAGTCTCCATCTGTCACTCTAGTTTGAGGGTTCACAAGTAAAGTGTTTTAAAATGTTACAATATAAATATACAGTAAGAATAAAAACATACACATTTACTCATCCATAGCTTTCTAGTGATTGTGCAGTTGGGACCACCTTTTTTAATTTATATAATTTATATAATTTTTTTTATGTACTTGTGTTTTCATGTGTTATTTTGTTTTAATTTTTATTTATTTACTGTTGGGATGACAATATTGCAGAATTTTAACTGGCAAATGGGTCAGTTATTTGTGTACTTATTTCATGGATAAAAATCCAATATAGAAATTGCAACTCACAACTTGGTTCTCATAAGCAGTGTTGAGTAAATAGAACTGGGAGTGCCTTTGAACTAACACTTTATTTTATAGCGTGCTTTTTACACCTTACAAATCCTAAACAGTAAAGTTATGCATAATTATATGCAACTAACTGTAAACTAACTGCATAATTACATGCAACTAACTGTAAACCAAACCCCAATCCTAACCCTATAGAAAGGATAATATATGGATAAGCATAGTACATTGGTTATTAATATTTCTGTCATGATTTCCAGCTGCAGTGCCCATGAGCTCCTCTTAGAGGGTACTCCATCCCGTACCTTTGCCACTCAATCCTGGGCTCCATTTCCCATAACCCCCTGCCCAGGAACTGATTACAGACACACCTGTTTCCTATTAGGAGGACTATTTAAGCTGCACACTCTCACACACTAATTACTGAGTCTTGTTTAGCTGCTAGTGGACATTTATAAGTGTTTCCTTGTTTCTCCATGTTTAGTTTTTTTTCTTTGGACTTATTCCTTGTGTTGTGATCGTTTGCTGCCTGCCCTGTCCTTTGTCTGTTTCTTGGATTACTCTTTTGTCTTGCCCTTGGATATTGATGTTTGCTGGTGTTTGACCCTGCCTGTTTCGACTACGCTCTGTAATAAAGCTTGCTTTTGGATCCCCTACTCCATTGTCACACCGTCCGTAACAATTTCTTTGTTGCATGTAATTACACTGTAACAAGAACACCTTAAAATAAAGCGCAACTGCCTTTTATATTAGAATTCAATTTCTGAATTTGAATTGTGGTAGCGAACAATGAAGATATATTGAAATTCAAAAGAGATTTATGCAAGTGTAATTTTTAAATAAAACAATCAAAATTTCTTAAGATGAACTAGACTTAAAAATAAAGTGTCTTTAAGGTTGAAAGTTTATAGGCTTATGGTCAGAGAAAATGTCAGAATGATGATTTAGCCCAGGGGTGGCGAACGTCAGTCCTGGAGAGCCTCAGCCCTGCAGAGTTTTGCTTCAACCCTAATCAAACACACCTGAACAAGCTAATCAAGGTCTGAAGGGTTATTAGGAAGCTACAGGCAGGTGAGCTTTAATTAGGGTTGGAGCTGAACTCTGCAGGGCTGCGGCTCTCCAGGACTGGAGTTCGCCACCGCTGATTTAGCCTATAGATATATAGTCAAAATATGATATTCTAAAAATATACCAAGAACCCTCTTTCAATCTACAGTACATTATTCTGAACTCTAGATATCTGGGTTCCTCCTTCAATCTAATAATAATAATAATAATAATAAGGTTACACTTGATTTTAAGGTGTCCTTGTTACAGTGTAATTATACATATAAGTACTGAGTAATAATTATTAACTACATGCATTTACTATATGGTTAGGATTAGGGTTTGGCACACGTTACATGTACTTACTATGATAATAATAATTATGCATAATTACATGCAAGTAACCCTAAACTACAAGATGTGTAACAAGGACACCTTAAAATAAAGTGTTACCAATAATAATAATAGTTATTATTATCATCAGCAGCATTTGTTAGAAGAAAATTGCAAATCTGCTAGAAAATTTATTGCACAGCTCTCTTCATGATTTTGTGATTTGAAGTATCATGTATACCTGTAACACAACAGTGTAGATATCCCTGAGGTGTACAGTGGGTAGAGTTCAGGATATCTGTTAACAGATTATGATTAAGTAACAACAAAAAATATGAAAGGCGTCTTGTGAAAATATACAAGTGTGCATAGAGCTCAGCGCATCTTAAAGACTGACAGAAACTTATGTAAAGCACTAAATAAGTAAATTCGGTGTATTGCTTCAGTACAAGGCCACTTTTTGTATCTTCTATGTGTTTAGCTGAAGTCTCGGTCGGACAGGATTAGCGGAGCCACAAGGGTCCAGAGGTACAGCGCCAGTCCCAGCCAACTCGAGCAGATCTTCACCCACACAGACGGCATGCTGCTTTTCATGGCTGTGTAGTCTGTTTCAGGTCTGAGAAGGAAAGAGAACGTTTAAAGAAATATCGGTCACTCATTTCTTCAAATTAACATCTTGACAGAACTCTCCCCAGCAGTACAGAGTGAGGATGCTTTGTGAGACACTCACTGGTACCAGTTGGTCAGGGTCATCATGATGTAGAGGGAGGCCAGGAACAGAGAGAAGTGGAAGAAGGAGTAGCTGTATGTGACGCTGTCCTCTTCGTTATCCACAGCACGCCTCACGCCGTCCTCAGAGACACCCTCACAGGCATCAGCGGATGCCAGCCCCTGAACTTCCTCTGTCTGCATCAGCTTATTCACCTGGCTGTTGTTTGAGGAGCGAATGCTAGAAAAAAAACAAGAAGCAAACACATAAAAGATGGCTTAGATCAAATAATGGAATTAAAAATGACTTAATTTCAAATATGAATTTTACGTCTAGGCCTATGTTAAATTTGCTTTATGAAACCAAATAATTTGACAATGAGTCAGACGAACTGAAATAGTTTTATGAGGTAAAACTTGTTTTATGAAACGGGCCTCGAGGCATTAAAAGTATTGAATCGCATTGTGTTGAATCAAATCGAATCGAAATCGGATTGCACTGCATCGTAATAGGGGTGAATCGTATCGTTGGCTATGCATCGAGATCGGCCTCAGTCATGGAGATGCACATCCCTAATATACATACATACATACATACATACATACACAAAAGCAAATACACCAATAAACATTTATTTGAAGACAATTAAAAGAAAAAAATATATATATAATATATATATATACTGTTATACTGTTCAGCACAGCTTGTATTCATTTAGCATTTCTTTGTCTGCTTCTGGCAGTGGTGAGGACGATGGTAACCAGCTCACCTGGCATACAGTGTGCAGAGGAGGAAGATGACCAGCCCCACAATGCTCTGGGCATCCCACCACTGCGTCTGGATGCCGGGGGCGCTGGTGGGAGTGACTGCTCTCGGCCCACTGCCGACCAGACTCAACAGACTCGGGTTACACTTACGATCTGTGCACAGACAAGAGCAATGCAACACATGAGAAACAGGTTATTTAGGAGCATAGCATACACTCTAAAACAGATAGTGATTCTGTTATTCATTTTACACATGCTACCTGGGCTATTAAGCACTGGCTGTGAGTTAAGCAGGGCCAATTAATGGGATTGTTGCACAGAATTTCCATACTGCGCTCCACAGCAAGCAAAAAAAAAAAAAAAGCTCCTTTAAACTTTAATTGCATTACATCCCATTACATTTGGCCTGGAGGTTGCTGAGGTTTGTCATTTTTTCCATTCAAGCAGCTCCATGTGTTTATGTATGTCTTATTTCCCAGAATCCAATTATGTAAACAAACAACCTGCATCTGGAATTTTTCCCCATGTCTTTCCGAGAATTCCTTTGTTTTGGTCAAACTTTTATCAGGCATGTGATTTCTCAGGTTTGGTAACGAAATGAAGTTTGAGACAGCATACAGATTATCATCAGACTATCAGACAATGATAGCAATGAAACTACCTTAAAAAGAGGTAGTTTTTTTAATGTACTCCGCTAGGATGCATTAAATTGATCAAAATGAGTGTATGGACATTTATAATGTTACAAAGGATGCTTCAAATAAATGCTGTTCTTTTGAACAACAACAAGATCATAGTTTTTACACAAATATGAAGCTGCAAAACTGTTTTCTGCATTGATTTCCGAAGGATCATGTGACACTGAAGACTGGAGTAATGATGCTGAAAATTCAGCTTTGATCACAGGAATAAATTACATTTTAAAATATATTACAGTTACAATATTACAGTTTTTACTCCATTTCTGAACAATGAAATGCAGCTTTGTTGAGATTCCTAAAAAAAATTAATAAATCAAATAGACCCCAAACTTTTGATTGGAAATGTACATCATAAAAATTAGTGCTGGGCAACGATTAATTGCATCCAAAATAAAAGTTTGTTTTTATATGTGTGTGTACTGTGCATATTTCTTATTTATATACAAATACACACACACACACACACATGTATATATTTAAGAAAAATGTTTATGTATTAAATATATTTATATGTATATGTAAATACATGCAAATATTTTCAAAATATATACTGTATGCGTGTCTTTATATGTACATAATAAATATACACAGTACACCTACATAAATATTATATAAACACAAACTTTTATTTAGGATGCGATTAATCATAGCCCAGCATTAATAAAAATGTGTCAGGTGTCACTTGTTTCTGTGACGGCCTCCTAGACTCTTCCTCTCTTTGCTTGTCAGTCATTTTGCACATTCAAGTTGGTTGACATACCTTTGAAGGGTGAGGTTAAGTTAGCAAGATGAAATTAGCTAGATGGCAGAAAATGTCTTTTGAAAACAAAATATATTAGGCAAGTTCTCTAGTTATAAAAGTTTCAGCAGAATGAGCTGGATCAGAATGAAGATGAAGGACCCAACCACGCCGAAGTAGTACCACACTGCAACGGACAAAATCCATTCCTGACTTATGAACTGGCATGACTTCAGCAGCTGTTCCTGACAACTGGGAGGGATTTCTCATTTTATAGAGACTGCACTCACAAAGAGCCATTTGGCCAGTGATTATACTTAATTCATATTTTGATTAATAAAAATCTTCTACATACAGTATGTAGTATGAGTTAAGGTTGCTCTGTGCCTGCTCAAAATTCTGTGTAAGGACAGACAAAAATATGCCTGCTCTCACACCTCAGTATGAAAGTATCCAGCTGTAATCGCTGTGCAACTGCATTCATACCACCTCGAGTCTGTGTACAGACAGCTAAATGAAACTTCAGAAAGCACTTCTGTTACAACTTTACAGTGTGACTTTGGAAGACTTTTGCTCACAGTGATAGTCAAGGAAATATTTAAAAGCTGAGACATTATTATTACTTTTATTGTATTAATTTTTTTTAGTTTCGGGATTAAGATTAATTATCACTTTTCAGGTGTTTAATTTTTAACACACTCTGTTAGCTTAGATAATTTAGAAGTTTCATCTGGTGTTGTTGAGATATATAGTTGAGTATCATCAGCATAACAGTGGAAACTAACCCTGTATTTTCTAATAATATTACCAAGGGGCAACATGTATATTGAAACTAGCAGAGGGCCTAGGACAGATCCTTGCGGCACTCCATACTTTACTGGATTTAATTGAGATGATTAATCCACCTATGGATTAATAGGTGGATAGACTGGATGAAAAAGGTCTTGATCCAACTATGATAGGATAAAGTTTATCCTTAGCCTTAGGTATGGAAATCACAATTTTAATATTCCCTGAAATTTCTAGGTTTTCAATGACAGTGGGAATCCTGGTGTATGTATGGGGTTTATCACCACTTTAAAACATTCACGTAACCAGAGAAATGCAATAGCAAATAAGTAGGTGGTGATTCACTGTTGTCTATGATGCATGAGGAAGCGTTAGTGTTTACTCTAATGTGATGTGGTCACATGGGTATCAGGTAGAAACAGGCCATGGCAAAGCACATCCTGTAGACCGACTTATAGCCAACAATGATCTCACAATTCACCTTCCCATGAACTCCAGGTATGGAAGAGCCTCCTTCACAGAAACCAGGAATCTGTTGATAAATTCAATAAACAAAATTATCGAATCATCAATTCAAAATGCATGTTTACACAGGGGTCAAACAAATATAATATTTCTCTCTTTACATCTTGATAACATACTGTGGCTGTTTATATGTTTAAACCACTGATCTATAACAGAGAACAGAGTCATTATATAGATCAGTGGTTTAAACACAAACATATATATATATTTTTTTTTATTATTTAAATTTGAGATTATAAACGTGAGATTATAGATGTATAAACCACTAAATAAGCTTGCTGCGTTTTCATAAAGCTACAAATGCATAGCACAAATGAGAGAAAGAAAACAAACCAGCCAGAGGGCAGTTTGATGTATTTAGAGGGGAAACAATTCTTGTTAACTTGCTTTTCATACAAGTATGCAAATATAGGCATATACAAATATTTTTGAATTGTTATGTTGTAGTCTGAGGTAATGTTCCCATAACCTGGAATATATCCATGTCAACATCAAACAGAACTGAAACATGGATTTATATTAGGCTTTGAAAACTGCAAAGAGGCGAATAATCTAATCATTTAATTATTAGCAGAATAATTCAACTAATATGCCTACTAATTTCAGACCACTACACTGCCCTGGATCTAAACTTAAAAGTATATTTTACCTACAGTGGGTTTCAGAATGTCAGAAATTCACTTACATTTCATTATTTTGAAATGACCTAGAAATAGTGCAGAAATAATTATTTACACTACCTGTCAAACGTTTGGAGTAATTACGATTTTTTTTTCTTTTTCAATAAGTATGTTTTTGAAATAAGTAATATTGTTACAATTTAAAATAACTATAAAATATTACAGATATATAAAATATTTTTATTGCACTTTCTATCATGTGACGTCAGTGTCACGTGATCCTTCAGACATCATTCAAATTATTATCTAGGCTGAAAACAGTTTTTAGTTTTGTGGAAACTATGATACTTTTTTTTTTTGTTCTTCACCAGAATTTGTTTGAATTTGATGAATAGCATTTACTGTTCAACAGCATTTATTTGAAGGCAAAACATTTTTCTAATAATAATATATATATATATATATTACACACACACACACAGTCACTTTTGATCAATTTGCTGTGTCCTTGCTGAAAATCCAGCTTTGCATCACAGGAACACATTATTACAATATTTAATCAAATAAACTGCAGTCTTGATGAACGCGAGACTTCTTTCAAAAATATATCTTAATCATTCCAAATTAGTGACTAGTAGTGCCAATATTTAGAAAATAAATATAGAAATGTATATGCTTTGTTTATTTCCATGTTTGTTTTCAGATTAAAACGTCTCCCAATTTTAATTTCAGAAGGCAAATATGTTCCTTTAATAAAAACTACTTCTGACACTGGTCTATATCTTTTCATTGTTTTTTGTTTTTTTGAGGCCAGAATCAGGATTGGAAAGCAAGAGAGAAGAAATGGGATCAGGCCAGATTCAAGCTTATAGGGATAGCTAGTAGAGCAGAAATATCTTAATTATTTCCATGTTTGTTTTCAGATTAAAACGTCTCCCAATTTTAATTTCAGAAGGCAAATATGTTCCTTTAATAAAAACTACTTCTGACACTGGTCTATATCTTTTCATTGTTTTTTTTTGTTTTGTTTTTTCAGGCCAGAATCAGGATTGGAAAGCAAGAGAGAAGAAATGGGATCAGGCCAGATTCAAGCTTATAGGGATAGCTAGTAGAGCAGAAATATCTTAACTTGTGTTCCGAAGATGAAAACGAAGGTCTTCCGGGTTTGGAACGACATGAGGGCGAGTAATTAATGACAGGATTTTCATTTTTGGGTGAACTGTCCCTTTAAGCACACCAGCTCTGCTGTGATGCCATGCCCCCTGCACCAATGGTCTGTGTACCTTCTTCAGCTGTGTCTCCATGCCGGGCAGGATCATGATGATGGACACTACAGTGCCCAGCAGCAGGAAGAAGGAGAAGGCCAGGCGGGTCACAGTGGAGTTGTATGTAGAAGGACAGCATCCTGATAAAAGACACGGTGCAGAGCCGCACAGACAAGACGCCTACAATGACACAAACACACTCAACACAGAAAATACACACATTTCTCTGCACTACAGGGTGAACAACATACTATATGTGACCCTGGACCACAAAAGCAGTCATAAGTGTCTTTTTAAAAAAATAATAAATCTGAATAAATAAGCTTTCCATTGATGCATGGTTTGTTAGGAGAGGACAATATTTAGCCAAAACACAATGGGTCACAGTGGAGTTGTATGTAGAAGGACAGCATCCTGATAAAAGACACGGTGCAGAGCCGCACAGACAAGACGCCTACAATGACACAAACACACTCAACACAGAAAATACACACATTTCTCTGCACTACAGGGTGAACAACATACTATATGTGACCCTGGACCACAAAAGCAGTCATAAGTGTCTTTTTAAAAAAATAATAAATCTGAATAAATAAGCTTTCCATTGATGCATGGTTTGTTAGGAGAGGACAATAATAATAATAATAAAAAATAAGTTTTGATATATTTGCGGTAGGAAATTTGATCTTTACTTAATATCCTAATGATTTTTGGCATAAAATGGATACTTTTGACCCATACAGTGTGCTGTTGGCCTGATAAAAGACACGGTGCAGAGCCGCACAGACAAGACGCCTACAATGACACAAACACACTCAACACAGAAAATACACACATTTCTCTGCACTACAGGGTGAACAACATACTATATGTGACCCTGGACCACAAAAGCAGTCATAAGTGTCTTTTTAAAAAAATAATAAATCTGAATAAATAAGCTTTCCATTGATGCATGGTTTGTTAGGAGAGGACAATATTTAGCCAAAACACAATTATTTGAAAATCTGGAATCAAAATATTGAGAAAATCGCCTTTAAAGTTGTCCAAATGAAGTTCTTAGCAATAAAAAAATAAGTTTTGATATATTTGCGGTAGGAAATTTACTAAATATCTTCATGGAGCATGATCTTTACTTAATATCCTAATGATTTTTGGCATAAAATGGATACTTTTGACCCATACAGTGTGCTGTTGGCTATTGCTACAAATATACCTGTGACTGCTTTTGTGCTCCAGGGTCACATTTCAGTACCTCCATGTTAAACATTTCTATTAAATATTAAAGAAATTATTGGACTGAAAAGGACTTACAACTCGAGAAACTTACAGCCTAAGTGTTTTAAAGTACACCGTTTACAAATATGACATTATTAAGAGCAAACGAAGTCTAAAAACATAAAGACATGCCGCCCTCGAGTCATTTATTTATGTTTTCTCAAAACTTTATAGTTTATGTACGTAAACAAAACGAGGAAACGGCCTCTAAAGCGCATCTATGAACAAGGTTTCTGATAAAATGCGTTGCTGTCTTCAGCAGATGACATGAAGATAATATACAAGTAATATTTTAGACTTACGCAGCTCGCCAGCGAGCACAAGGCCATACACGCACCCATGATGAGGGACAAACCCGAAACTAAAGCCAGGAAGTCAATCTTTCCGCCTCATTCGAGTTTCTTATAAAACTCTACAAAGTAGCAATGATTGGCTGGGAGACGCATCGCTGGGCTTGCGGACCAATCAGACGGCGGTACAGAATAATCGCTGAAGTAACAAACCAATCAGATGAAAGTCTGGTAACTGCGTCTGATTTATATCCAGCGTTGGAAAGGGTACTTTGGAAATGTAATAGGTTACAGATTACAAGTTACCTTATCTCAAATCATTTTTAAACATGTAAACCAGGCGGCGCTAAACTTACAGTAGAGCTCAACACTGATGATTACTCTCACTTTCAAAATCTTTTCTCCCTTGAATTAATAAAAAGAAAAAAAATTAAGATTATAATAATTTAATTTTAAAGCACAGCCAGCACAAAATCAAGACTTACTTTGAGATCATTCTGTGGTTAAATACAGATTTAAAACCATAACTAGTTTAATAGCTATGACACAATCAAAATGTTGCATGTCTATGACAGGAAACACTGGCATCTAACAATGGCTGAGAAAAAACACAAAACAGTTCATCTTAAAAAAATAAAGCATGTACATAAACCCAAATAGGAAATAAAACAGTTATCGAATAGGAATGTGTCCTAATCTGTGTCCTAAACTCCTGATTGGTCTCATATATATTAGTGGTCTCTGCCACTTCTGAAAGAAATCAATTAAATCTGTATGTGGGTGTGTAAAAAAAAAATCAAATGTAACCCCCTTTGTAATCGTTAACATTTTCAAAAGTAACTGTAAATTAATTACACTTTTTTTCTCTCTCATTAACTGTAACTGATTACAATTACATTTATTTTGTAATTTAATTACGTAATTTAGTTACATGTAACTAGTTACTCCCCAACACTGCTTATATCCACAGGCAGCTCAGTTTACGGTATTGCATTACATTCGTATTTATGTTCTTGTTAAAGCGATCTATGAGTCAGTAATAGTCTCTGACATTTGGTCTAGATGGCGCAAAATCCCATAATATGGATTTAGACATAAGTCATAAATCTCTTAAAATATGAAAACATAATTTTGAATTTACAAATGTATATCTGATATCACAGTGCAATACTAAATCAAATATTCAGATGTATACAGTAGGCCTGCTTGTCAAAATGAGGAAAGTTTGATTTTTAAACGTTTTAATCAATTCTATTCTGCTCACCAAGGCTGTATTTATCAGCTCAAAACAAAACAGTAATATTGTGAAATATTATTACAATTTAAAACAACTGTAAAATGTCATTTATTCCTGTGATCAAAGCTGAATTTTCAGCATCGTTACTCCAGTCATGTGACAGTTCATGTTTGCATTACAGGATAAATTGCATTTAAAAATACATATTCAAAAATAGAGTTTGAGTAAACCGTTATTTCAAATTGCAATAAAATTTCAAAACTTTACTGTTTTTACTGTATTTTTTTTTCAAATAAATGCAGCCTTGGTGAGCATAAGAGACTTTATTAAAAACATTTAAAAATCATAATATTTCCAAACCTTTGTATTGTACGAGTATTGAATAATTCAGTAGAATAAGTGAGCAATGACAAGCAAATCAAACAGCATCCCACAATTAAAAGGTAGGCATATCCTCTGAATAATTATTATTATTTAAAAGACCACTTAACCTATATTTGAAATAAATAAGCAGAGATACTGGTCTATATGAAAAATCAAGAAGAACATTTCAAAGTTCTAATAATATTTTCATGTTTACCAGCACTATTCTCAGAACAAATGACACACGCCAATTTAAAACAGAAAGAATTAAAAACATAGTTACTTTTTGTTTACACTTCTTTTAATTTTCGGTTTATCTTTGTTTGCTGTGTATCACAATAACAATAAGCTTCATGTCATCGCGTTCATGATGAGACATACTGCTGTATTGGGCGCTCTTTTTGAGCATCTTTTATTTGAAAAATACATTTGATATGCGAGCATTCACGGTGCCGGTGTTGTGCCGAATTCTGCACCCCTGCCAGATTATGCACCCCCTCGTTGAAGTCGCTACCTGATTGCCTAATCCCAAACCCACCCCTAATCCTAACCCCTTCCCCACACCTAACCCTAAACCTACCAATACTAGGGGATGCATAATCTGGCAGGGTGCAAATTTCGGCACTACACCGGTTCATGTTTGGAGTATGAGAGACTAGGCTTGTTTGAGATGCGCCTCGCCTCGCCTGAAATGTAGGCGAGAGCAGGCGGCTGCAGTGAGAGGATGAGTGAAATAAGCGCAGTCAAGACGGACAGTTCTGACCTCTCGAAGTGGAGCAGATACCAACGAGATCAAAAGCAGATATCGCGTTTCTCTCACTTATGCTGTGTTGCTAATAAACATGATATGATTTCAGTTCTGTTGCTTTTATATGAAAATAAATATGATGAACAAGACACTTAAAGTGCTTGCTATTTAATTCCATACGAAAGGTGTATTTATCATCCATTTTTACTTTAATACAAACATGTATTTTAGATTTTTATAGAAATATGACAACAATCACATATCTCACACAGAGATCGCACTGTCATAGTGTTTGGTAACATTCATACATGATTTAAATACATAATCACATGGAACCAGATAAAAAAATAAAACATTATGGAAGAGAACGCAGCATCACGGTTGCCTGAACCAATGAGCATTAAGCTGTGTCGTCAGTCAGTCATTTCCCATCATGTTTTTGATCAGAGCAGTCGGTGGAGAGCAACTGCGCTTGACTGCACAATCCGACTCAGCCAACTCACCATCGCAAGAGTTTTTTTGGCACACGTCAGCATGACATCAGCAGTGCTGGAAAGAGTACTGAGAAAATATACTCAAGTAAAAGTACCATTACCTTCCAAAAAATGTAGTGTGAGTAGAGTAAAAGTACTTGTCCAAAAAACTACTTGAGTAAGAGTAAAAGAGTAGCCTATTTAAAAGTACTCATGAGTATTGAGTAGTGAGTACTGAGCTGTGGATTCTACCCCCTCATAATGCTGTACACCGCAATTTATACATTTTAAAAAACGTTGTACATTCTGTAATTCACATTATATTGTTTGTCATAAAGAATGAAGAATATCTATCATCCAGTATTTTTAAAAATTTTGACTGCCAATTCTTTAAAATACATCAAAACAGCACAGAAACAGTATTCAGTTGAAGAAAAGATGAAAGTTATTCTCAGTACAATCATCCCCATTTAAATCATAAAGTTAGAAAACATTTATTTAAAATCATGTGTAACTGAGACAGTATGCTGTTGTTGCACATAAAATATTAATGTTTAGAACAGTGCAAATACAAACCATTAGAAACTCATAGCTCAGCATCACTGTAACGGGGCTGACGAGACGTGAGACGTGCGGATCCATATGCAAAGCTTTATTAGACGGAGACGCGGTCATAAGACAGGCAGGGTCAGAACACAGGCAAACAGGTATATGGCGGGCAAAACACAAGAACAGTCACAGGGCTAGCGAAGGTCACCGATGGGCAGATAGAATCGGAAGGGACAAGACTAAGGGAGAAATCCAAGAAACCAGGCGAAGATCAAGAACCGAGAAAA